AGACTCATGTAATGGTACAAGATCCCAATGATGAATGTAACTGTATTTTATACCTAAAATGTACCAATAAAGTTAATGGGGGGGGGGAAGAAGTATTGCCATGAGTTCAAGCCCAGCCTAGGCTACATAATTCAAAGCCATCTTGAACTACAAAGCAAAATGTCATCTCAAGAAACAAACAGAAAAACAAGTGGCTGGAGAGGTTAGTGAAGTCTTATTTCTAAAGACAGAATTTGGGCCAGGTGTGGTGGTGCATGCCTGTAATCCTAGCACTTGGGAGGCTGAGACAGGAGGATTGCTACAAGTTTGAGATCAGCCTGGGCTACACAGTGAGTTCAAGAACAGCCTGAACTACATAATGAGACACTGTTTCAAAAAAATGGATTAGACTTTAAAAGATAAGCAATGTTTAAAACGTTAGAACAGAGGGGAAGATAATAAGAATAAAGGCTAGCCAGGGATGTAGCTCAGTGGCACAGCACCTGCTTGGCAAGTGCAAGGCCCTGAGTTCAATTCCTGATACCAAAAAAAAAAAAAAAGAATAAAGGCTTAGGGGAGTGATATTACATGTAGGGGGTGCGGTCAGGGAGGATACGAACTGGTTGTCAGGATCAAAGTATGTGTGTTAAGGAAGTAAGTATTGATAAGAGCTATGTTATATTGATAGAAAGGGTAACAAGCCTCAGGGAAGGCAGTTGAAATTTGATAAGGTAGAAAGTAGAACTGTAGAGAACTCTAGGTTCTTCAATGGAGAAAGCCTGAGGTAAGTTTTTGTTTTGTTTTGAATGCACTGTAAAGACATAAATATGATAGTGGGAAAATACAGATGGTTTTTAAAAGGACTGTGATTCAAGGGGGCTGTTGCAGTATTATAGATAGGAATTCACAATAACTTGATACAGAATCATAAAGGTAAAATGGAATTGGAGAAGACAGGCAAAATCTGAAAAATCTTTCAAAGACAGAAACAGTAAGGTTGATGACCAAATGGGGGTGTGATGGCAGAAAGGATGATTCAGAGTATTCCTTGATTTCTACCTTGTGGAACTAAAAAAAACGATGCTATCACAAATATAAATGGGGAAGTTAGGGAAGGAAAATCTATTTGGAAAATCAAATTTGGGGTTACTGAAGCTGAAGATATAATTGGAAGTGGAAATGTCCTAAGAAGTTCAAAAACTAGTCAGATTAGCTGATAGGGGTGTGCTGGGAGGCCTGCATAGTAAAAAACCCAAGGGCTCAGAGGCACTGGTGGTGTTTTTCCTGGGTTCTTCCAGTTGAAAAGGGTGCCTTTTAGAAGAGAAAGGAATAAATAGACTTGAACAGTTGACTATCCAGATGGTGTCAAAGAACAGAATTGGATTTGATTTCTGGGCCATGGTTTAAGATCCTGGAACTGATGAGTTTTGGCAAGGATCCAGGGAGTCAGAGAGGAAAAAAAAAGTTTTATTTACTTTCTTTCTCTCTCCCCACATCTTCCTCTCTCCCTCTCCCTCTTCACCTCCCTCTCCCTTTTCCCTTCCCTCCTTCCCTCTCCCTCTTCTTCTGCCTCTCCCTTCTTTTCTCTGTCCTCCCTTTTCCCTCTCCCCCTCCCTTTTCTTTTAGGGGAGAGGGGAGAATTGAGAAGGAAATAAAAAATTGTTCAAAGAAGAAAGGAAGGAAGGGAAGATAACTGAACAAATAATGGTCTAAAAGCAGAATAACATTGTAAAAGATATCCAGTGTGTCAAAAGATAATTATAGGTGAAAGGAAGCCAAATTTATTGCTAATATTTATTGAGAGTTTACTATATGCTATCACTGTGGAAAATTCTTTACATGCATTATTTCTTTAATCCTCAAAAAAAGGCTTAATTTTTTTCCACTCCACAAAGTGTGGTACACATCTTTCCAATTCAGTAAAGATCTACATTGTCATTTTAAATTGATGCATAACATACTATTCCATTGTAAGATGGCTAATTTTAGTAAGCTACAATGATCTCCTTTGGGCATACATTTTCCTATTCCGGAGTACAACAGATACATTTTTAATTTAATTTTTAAGCAATATCATGATTCAGTAATGAAAATATGATGAAAATATGAAAAAGTATATTGCAAAAAGGTTTTTTCCATCTTTTTCCTGTTAGTTTCTGTTTTATCTTTCCATTCATAATTTCTTTGTTATAAAAGCAAATGTAGGCCGGGGATTTAGCTCAGTGGTTTTGCCGCCTGCTGCGCAAGCGCAAGGACCCGAGTTCGATCCCCGGTACCAAAAAAAAAAAAAAAAAAGCAAATGTAGGGCCAGGGATTTAGCTCAGTGGTTCCGGTGCCTGCCTTGCAAGCTCAAGGTCCTAAGTTCAATCCCCAATACCAAAAAAAAAGCAAATGTAAATAAATATTTTTATTTTCTCCGTTTTGTTTTTATATAACTGTAAAAAGCATTTCATGATAATTTTTTAGGATAAAATAAAGGTGATATTGCTGAATAAAGGGTAATTTCTAGTTAAAATCTTAATATGTATTGCTCAAGTGCTTATCAGAAAGTATGTATATTTATATTTTCACCAACAATGTATGTTTTTAATTTTATTTTCCAATTTCATTTTATTTCTATAAGAGATTATAAGAAACTACAGTGAATGTTTAAATAAAAAATTTATTAGAGTAAAAGACACATTACGATTAATCCCCCTCAAAATATTTCCCTTTGCTTTGAGGATGTTTATCCCATCATTCTTGCCACTTTTTAAAGCAGTTTTAGAGAAATCTTTAGTAAGCATCTTTTCATGGCTTCCTCAATGTCCTGAATCAATTCAAAATATTTAAATCAATTTCTGTCAAATAAAAACATCATTCACTGTGTGTCTTCTTTCACCTTATTCACCAAATCTGGCCCTCCAAGACCTCTGGGTCTTTCCCAAAGTCAAAATGACCATGAGGTACATGGTTTGAAGTGATTTGAAGGTGCATGTTTGAAATGATTTAGGACATCGAGGCAGCCATGACAGTGAAACTAAAGCCACTCACAAAAAAGAGCTTCCAGAACTGCTTCAGAAAGTGGCAAGAAAAAATAAGGGTTTTTTTTGTTTTTTGGTACCGGGGATCAAACTCGGATCCTTATGCTTGCGAGGCAGGCGGCAGAACCACTGAGCTAAATCCCTGGCAAAAATAAGTTTTTTAAAAAAATGAGTATTTTGAGGGGGGTTAATGGCAATACATTTTTTAATGTAAAAATTTAAAAAATGTAAACATTCCCTGTATACTTTGATCATACCTCATATACCTGAAAATATATGGAAGAGCAGAGAAATGTTTTAAAACAATAATTTGTAACAGAATGTGTATTTTGATATTATGCAGAATTGATAATACAAAAGACTTTGGACTTATCCACTTATAATGTTGACAAATAGACACAAGTAAAAGGAAAGGTTTGATCTAAGTTCTATATTGTTTCTTTTTTTGGATAGACAGATGGGTAGGATTGCAAAGGTGGAAAAATATCAGGATGTCATGTAAAGATAGGAAATAGAGCTGAACAAGATAAAGAATAAGTAGAATGAGAAGTTGGAAGAGATTTAAGGTAGGAGTGAAAAAAAGGTAGACAATTCCAGTAGGCTCCATACATATCGCCAGATCATTTTTTCCTATTACATTTTTTCCAAGATTCTTGTTACAAATCTCTACTTCCTATCATTGAATTGGTGCATATTATTTTTATAGAAATTAATTTTTCAATGGAATGAATATGTACATTTGTCTTTTTTTAATAGAGTTGATTATCTGAAGAAATGGATACTTCTCCGTCCAAAAAATATCCAGTTAAAAAACGAGTGAAAATACATCCCAACACAGTGATGGTAAAATATACTTCTCATTACCCCCAACCTGGGGATGATGAATATGAAGAAATTAATGAAGACTATGGGAATTTTATGGAAGAAAATCCAAAGAAAGGTCTGCTGAGTGAAATGAAAAGAAAAGGAAGAACTTTCTTTGGAACTGTGGATACTCATCCTCCACCAGCAGAAGACCCAATGACCAGTGAGATCGGACAATTCCAGAGCTTTGCAGAAAAAAATATTTTTCAGTCCCGAAAAATGTGGATAGTGCTGTTTGGATCAGCTTTGGCTCATGGATGTGTAGCCCTTATCACTAGGCTTGTTTCTGATCGTTCTAAAGTTCCATCTTTAGAACTGATTTTTATCCGTTCTGTCTTGCAGGTCTTATCTGTGTTAGTTGTGTGTTACTATCAGGAGGCTCCCTTTGGACCCCGTGGATACAGATTACGACTCTTCTTTTATGGTGTATGCAATGTCATTTCTATCACTTGTGCTTATACATCATTTTCAATAGTTCCTCCTAGCAATGGGACCACTATGTGGAGAGCCACAACCACAGTTTTTAGTGCCATTTTGGCATTTTTACTTGTAGATGAAAAAATGGCTTATGTTGACATGGTCACAGTTGTTTGTAGCGTCTTGGGTGTTTGTCTTGTCATGATCCCCAACATTGTTGATGAAGACAATTCTTTGTTAAATGCCTGGAAAGAAGCTTTTGGGTATTCAATGACTGTGATGGCAGGACTGACTACTGCTCTTTCTATGATAGTGTACAGATCCATCAGGGAGAGGATTAGCATGTGGACTGCTCTGTTTACCTTTGGTTGGACTGGGACAATCTGGGGAATATCTACTATGTTTGTTCTTCAAGAACCCATCATCCCATTAGATGGAGAAACATGGAGTTATCTCATTGCTATATGCATTTGTTCTACTGCAGCATTCTTAGGAGTTTATTATGCCTTGGACAAATTCCATCCAGCTTTGGTCAGCACAGTACAACATCTAGAGATTGTGGTAGCTATGGTCTTGCAGCTTCTAGTATTACACATATTTCCTAGTGTCTATGATGTCTTTGGAGGGGTAATCATTATGATTAGTGTATTTGTCCTTGCTGGCTATAAACTTTACTACAGAAATTTAAGAAGGCAAGATTACCAGGAAATACTAGACTCTCCCATTAAATGAATACCTGGTAATTATTGTCTTGTAAATGTTCAGTTATTGAATACGTACACTGCCATTTTAATATTTACCCATAAATGTCTTTGTGTTATATAATTGACAGAGTGCTATATAATATATAATTAATTTATGCAGATGCAGAAAATTTATTCTTGTATAATATATTCAAATACAAATATTAAATATATGAACTATGTCATGAAATTGGTGTCTTTACACTTTTTTTTTTTTGGTACCGGGATCGAATTTGGAACCTTGCACTTGCAAGGCAGGCGGTGGAACCACTGAGCTAAATCCCCGGCCCATGTCTTCACACTTATTAACAAAAGGTTATTGTAGTAAATTTCCATCACTAAAGAGCACAAAACTTAACCAGACATAGTGGTGCAGACCTGTAACCCCAGCACTCTGGGAGGCTGAGGAAGAACAATCACAAGTTTGAACCTAGCTTGGGCAACTTAGTGACTTAGAGAGTCTCTCAAAATTTAAAAAAGGGGGTGGGCTGGGGATGTAGCTCAGTTCATTGGTCCTGGGTTCAATCCTCAGTACTGAAAAAAACAAAACTATTACCATCCACAGCAAAACCATGACCAAAAAAACCCCCCAAACAACTATAAGGAAATCCATAAAGATTTGAAGAAGTGACCTTTTTCAGATGGAACTTCTGTGGTTCCAAAGTGCCAAAATTTGATAAATGTTCATGCCAATGTTCTACAAATTTTCAAGAAAAATCATTCAATATTCAAAAGTCTTCATTTGTGAAGAGTACAGTATAGAGTAAAATGTTAAACACTGAGCTCTGTTTTGCCATCTACTTGCACTAGAAAACTAAAGGTGATAGAGGTGGAAAAGCAGCTTCAATGGAGGCAAGAAAGAAGGAACAAAAGAAAGGACCTGGATTTTCAGTGATAATGGTCTAATGTTAGAACATGAAATTGGTCTTCTCCTTCCTATTGCCATATTAAGCAACACATAGGAAATGTGGGAAAGCTGGGTTCTTGCCAGCCTATATAATCTATGCCATTTCACGTCTGGTGGTAGGAGACCTAATGCTGGGACAGGGTTTACTTATCCTCAGTTATGCAGGTCTTTTTCAGAGGTGCCCTTGTTTATAATTTTGTGGCAAGTACTATATATGAGGTAGTTGCAACAAAGGTACTCCTTGCTTCTAAAAGAGACACTAGCAGTAATCATAGTATGGTGCAAAATTGACATGGTATCCTTTTCTTTTTTCTTTTTTGGAACTCAGGACCCTGCGCTTATGAGGCAGGCAGTGGCATCACTGAGCTAAATCCCCAGCCCATGGTGTTCTTTTCAAAAGGGGCCGAAAGTCTATAAAAGCATGTAAGGTGACATTAAGTCTCATTTGGGCAATTCTTACTAATTCTGCACAAATGTTAATATAGTACTGGTTAAGTGATTGTGCTCCAAATTCACCCTTCTAAGCTTTCCTATTTGACACAATAGCTCAGACCCTGCAAACTACATTTGCCTATGTACAGGTGGGGAGTAGAGCTTAATAATATAAAAAATAAGTAGAGTCTTTCTAACTTCCACCAATAAAGTGATATAGAAGAAATATAACTCCTAACCTGTTAGATGTCAGATGTGCTGAGTTCACAGTCTCACAATGTCAAGGAATGAAGTTGTGAACCAAAGGAAGAAGTTAGGAGAATTTTATTGGAAATAAGAATAGCTCCTGCATTTCCAGGAGGAGTCCGGAGCAGGTGGCCACCAAGGCTCTTTGCCAGGGGTAATTTATATAGTAAAATCACAAAGCAGGTACAACGTGGGTCAAACTATAACCAACCTGTAAGATTACAAGTGTAGCCCCTTAGCTAATACTGATTCAATAGGGAAACAAGTCAAGTCACAAGGGTATATGGAAAGAACAAAGGCATTTTTGTGAAGGAATGGGTCGAGAGCCTCTGTCACTCACCTGTATGATGCCTAGCTGGAATTACTGGACCAGGTGGTGCTAATTATAGTATAATTTCAAGTTTCTGTTTATCCCTTAGGGAGGCAGGGAGGCACAGCTATTGCATCTTTTTTTTGGTACCAGGGATCAAACTTGGGTCCTTGCGCTTGTGCAGGAGGCGGTGAAACCACTGAGCTAAATCCCCGGGCTGTATTGCATCTTTTTTTGTTTTTTGTTTTTGGTACTGGGTATCGAACTTGGGTCCTTGTGCTTGCAGGGCAGGCAGCAGAACCACTGAGCTAAATCCCCAGCCCCTGCTATTGCATCTTTATCTTGAGGCCTGGCCTTCTTCAGATGCATTTCCAGTCACCATTTTGCTTTCTTTTTTCTGTGCTGACCTCCTTGACAGCCCAGTCCCTCTCTGACTGTATATTAATTTCTATCAAACTTAGCTGTCTATAATAAAAGGACATTAGAAGGAAACTGGAAGAAAGGGAATAGGGGAAAACGGACTTTCTTCTTTCTATTTGTCTATAGTTTCTATCACTGTTAACCCTGGAGTGGTAATTCATTTTAGCCTTGAGAGTTTTGCTTTTTTTTTTTTTCTTTGGTACCGGGGATTGAACTCGGGTCCTTGCACTTGCACAACAGGCGGCGAAACCACTGAGCTAAATCCCCGGCCCAAGAGTTTTGTTTTGTTTAATTTTTTAAAATGTAGGACTGGGTGTTGAACCAAGGCCCTATACAGAGTTACATCTTTAGCCTTTTAAGAAAAATATTTGAGACAGGGTTTTGCTAAGTTTCCCAGGGTGGGCTTGAACTTTGCAATCCTCCCACCTCAGTCTCCCAGAGTGGTGGGATTACCAGTGTGCACCATCATGCCTGGCTAGCCATTAGCTTCTTCTGGCATCACCTCTGCCTTCAACCAATTAGCTTCATCATATCCCTTAAAGAAGTAGCAGGACTAGCTGGAGAGCTTCCACTCAGAGGTCTGAGCTACAGTTCAGATGGGTCATTTATCTCAGTGTCTGAGACCTAATAGTCCAACTAATTAAGGTTGAATTCCTTTTCACTAGTTCTAGGGATGGTAGCTGCTCCCTACCATCTACATGTTCCTCCAGAGCCTCATGTGCTCATAAGTAGGGCTTCAGGGAGATGACTAGATCATGAGGGAATGATACTTATTAGTGGATTAGTCCACTGATAAGTTTATAGCTAAATGTGATGTTGAGGGATGAAGCCTGGTTGGAGGAGGTGGGTCACTGTGGGGATATATGTGTGTGTATATATATATATATATATATATATATATATATATATATAATC